GGAGACAAGGAAATCCAGAACATGGGTAGGGGAAATCATTGTCTTTGGGCTCGTGGCTTCAGGGATGGGGCTTGTGGAAAGTTTGGAGACCGCTTCCAAACCCACCTCGCTCCAGGGTGGTGTTTGCACATGGAGAAGTGGAAAAAAAAAACCAAACCCAACCACTTTTGGACAGTTTTCAAGCATCCGAACCGCGGTCTTTTTCATCTTTTTGGATGCAGGGAGGTGTGGGCGGGTGCCTGGATCTGCATGTGGTGCCCAGATTTTTCCCCTCCAATTAACTCCCCACCCCCCCTTTTCCTCTCCCTCGCAGATGACAACATCGATGAGACCTACGGGGTGAACGTGCAGTTCGAGTCCGATGAGGAGGTAGGAGATGAAGGGGTGGGTGGTGGCCTTCATCCCCTCAGGGGACCTCCTTTGTCCCTTTTTGTTTCCTCTGTCCCGTTGGGAAGTGGGCAGTGGCTGGGGTTGGGATGTCTCTGCCAGGAAAGGAGAAGCTGGATTATTTTAGGTACCGTTTCCTGGCTCGGGGAGGATTTGTTGCTTATCCTGCTAATCCGAGGCTTATCATGAGTCAGTAGGATGGAAACCAGATGGTGATATTTAGATCTCGGGAGGGGGGGTGGGGTGGGGTGGGGGGAAAACTTGACAGATCGAGAGGAAGAGAGACCTTCACATGAGCTGGTTGGAAGCGTTTCATGGCGACGCTCCCTGGGATTGGGTTTTGGAAAAGGCTGAGAGAGTGATAAGAGGGGAATTAAAACAGATTGTTGGAGGAGTCATTGGCCAAACCTCTCTGTAGGGAGTAGAAATAATCTCATGGCGTGGGGTTGTACCTGAAATTCAGTGAAACTCAGTGAAGAGCAGCGTCACGTTCCGGTGGAAAGCACAAGGAAAGGGCTGTTTCCCCTTGGGAGGGGAGTTGCCAGATGATTCATTTTTTTTGTTGGTGTTGAGGAAAAGCTCTTTTGACGTTTCCTGAAGCCTTTTTTCTGGAACTCCACTCACTTCCAACAGGAAGGTGACGAGGACATTTACGGCGAAGTGCGCGATGAGGCGTCCGATGACGACATGGAGGGAGATGAAGCCGTTGTCCGCTGCACCCTCTCGGCCAACGTGAGTCACCAGGTTTTTGGGGAGGTCATCTGGAGGAGGTTTGGGAATCCTGTTGGCCTGTGGATGGACTTAATGTTGTTTGTGGGCGGAGAGGAGCTTTGAAGCTGTTGCCTGATGGAGACCAAAAATGCTCATCAATAAAATTAAGAGGCCTCACAGCTAGAAAGAGCCCCCAAACTCTCCCTCCATGGCACAAAGGCCATTCACAGGAAAAGAACCTTTTTGGGTTTTTTTTTCTTAAAGCTTGTGGCTTCTGGGGAGCTGATGAGTTCCAAGAAGAAGGACCTGCATCCTCGAGACATTGATGCCTTTTGGCTGCAGCGGCAGCTGAGCCGCTTCTACGACGACGCCATCGTGTCCCAGAAGAAGGCGGACGAAGTGCTGGAGATCCTGAAGGTGGGTGGTCACCTCGTCTTGCCCGTGGCTGCTCTTTGGGCTCCACCTGAGTTCAGCTCTGGGAACGTGAGCGAGAACCTTCAGGATTCAGGGCAAGTGCCAGGTCCTGCACTTGGGCCACAACAACCCCCTGCAGCACCACAGGCTGGGGGAAGTGTGGCTGGAGCTGCCTGGAGGAAACAGCCCTGGGGGTTCTAGTTGCCAAACGGGTGAATATGAACCAACATTGTGCCCAGGGGGGCAAGAAAGCCAATGGCGTGAGCGAGAACCTTCAGGATTCAGGGCAAGTGCCAGGTCCTGCACTTGGGCCACAACAACCCCCTGCAGCACCACAGGCTGGGGGAAGTGTGGCTGGAGCTGCCTGGAGCCCAGGGAGGGGGTGGAGTCACCGTCCCTGGATGTGTTTAAGGAACGTTTAGATGCAGTGCTGAGGGACATGGTGTAGGGGAGGACTTTGTAGAGTAGGGGAGATGGTTGGACTCGATGATCCCGAGGGTCTCTTCCAACCTAGACCATTCTATGATTCTCTGATTCTCGTTGGGTGGGGCGCAAGAGTAACTGGTTGCTCCTGGTTTTCCCTCCTCCCAGACGGCAAGCGATGACCGGGAATGTGAGAACCAGCTCGTTCTGCTCCTGGGCTTTAACACCTTCGACTTCATTAAAGTCCTGCGGCAGCACCGGATGATGAGTGAGTGGGGTTTGCTTTCATTTCTTTTGTTTCCCTGCTCTTTTGACTCGATTCTAGCACAACCTGAGGCCTTTTAAGCGCCGTCGGTGTTGCTGTGTGAAGCTTGGGCCCTTCTTAATTTGCTCCCTTCTTCTGGTTCACCTTCATCATCAGGAAGAGTGGGACCAGCAGGTGGAGGGAGGTCATCCTGCCCCTCTGCTCTGCCCTGGGGAGGCCCCAGCTGGAGCACTGGGACCAGTTCTGGGCTCCTCAGTTCCAGAAGGACAGGGAACTGCTGGAGAGGGGACAGCAGAGGCTACAGAGATGATGAGGGGCTGGAGCATCTCTCTTATGAAGAGAGGCTGAGGGACCTGGGGCTTTTCAGCTGGAGAAGAGAAGGCTGAGGGGGGATCTGATCAACACCTATAAATACTTCAAGGGTGGGTGTCAGGAGGATGGGGCTGGTCTTTTTTCAGTGGTGCCCAGGGACAGGACAAGAGGGAAGGGGCACAAACTTGAACATAAGAAGTTCCACCTAAACATGAGGAGGAACTTCTTGACTTTGAGGGTGGCAGAGCCCTGGAAGAGGCTGCCCAGAGAGGTGGTGGAGTCTCCTTCTCTGGAGACATTCAAACCCCCCCTGGACATGTTCCTGTGGGACCTGCTGTGGGTGGCCCTGCTCTGGGTGGGGGTTGGACTGGGTGATCTCCAGAGGTCCCTTCCCACCCCATATCATTCTGTGATTTCTCTTTCCTCAGTCCTTTACTGCACTTTGCTGGCCAGTGCCCAAAGCGAAGCTGAAAAAGAAAGGATCATGGGGAAGATGGAAGCGGATCCCGAGCTCTCCAAGTTCTTGTATCAGCTGCACGAGACGGAGAAGGAGGATCTCATCCGGGTGAGGCTGGAGGGGACCTCTGGTGGGATGAGAGAGGAGATCTTGAGAGCCCTGCCCGTGTCTGTGGTCGCTGTGGGGCTGTGGGGGTTTGTTCTCTGTTCGTGAGAGAGGCGCCTGCTGACTCAGCCGGGATCTTGAAACCATGGTTAAACGTTGCTTAGGAGGGCGATCTGTTTTACCACTTCTTATTTTTGAGTCCTGCTTTCCCAAGGAAAATGTCAATATATGCAAGTTTCACATTTTGAAGCGGGTGTGAAGTGCCTCGTCGCAGCGCCGTGTCACCTCTGGGCCTCCTTCCTGCAGGCTCAGCGCGGTGGGACACCCCGGTCACCTCTGATGGGTCACCTGGGCTTGGAATGTGACGCTCGGGGAAGCTTATTGGGATGCAGGATTAGCTCTGCTTGGCCTTTGGAGAATAGCAGTTGGGGGTTGTATTTTGGGGATAAATACCATATTCCTGTTTCCTTGTTAAAATCCCTGGTTGTGTCAATATGAGGGACCAGTTTGGCTTCTCTGTTGGGTGGGCTTTTGTTGGGCCACCTCGGGTTTGTGTGTCCTCGCTCCCTGCTTCCTTTCATCTGCTCCTCCTGGAAGGCAGGATTATGTCCAGGCCTTGGACAAAATTATTGGCTCTGATTTGGTGAATCCCTCTGCTGGAAAGAAATCATGGCATGTTGCCCTCTGCTCGTGTGGATTCATGGTCCACGCAGAAGGTTTGGTAGATCTTCCCCCCTGGGGGCTGAATTCTCCTCTCTTGGCACAGGAGGAACGCTCTCGCCGGGAGCGCGTCCGTCAGTCCCGGATGGACACTGATTTGGAGACCATGGATCTGGACCAAGGAGGAGAGGTAAGACTCTTTGAAGTCATCTGTTCTTTGCCCTTCTGAGGAGGCAGGAGAGAGTTGTTTCTAACCCATTCTCCTCTTTCCCATGGTTTTTTTTTTCCAGGCACTGGCTCCTCGGCAGGTGCTGGACCTGGAGGATCTGGTCTTTGCCCAAGGTAGTCACTTCATGGCCAACAAGCGGTGCCAGCTCCCCGATGGCTCCTTCCGCAGGCAGCGCAAGGGCTACGAGGAGGTGCACGTGCCAGCCCTGAAACCCAAGCCTTTTGGTGCTGAAGAGGTGGGTGACCTGCTTTGTCCCCCGTTGTTTGAGTGCCAAGATGACTGATGTCATCTCCATGGACTTCTGTAGGGTCTTTGACGTGGTCTCCCCCTCTGCATTCGGGAGAGAGGTGGATTTCATGGATGGACTGTCCAGTGAACGAGGAATTAATGGAATCACAGAATGGTTGGGTTGGAAGGGACTTGAAAGAACACATAGAATCATGGAATGGGTTGGGTTGGAAGGGATCTCAAGGCTCCCCCCAGTGCCACCCCCTACCCTGGGCAGGGCTTTGTCCCCCGTTGTTTGAGTGCCAAGATGACTGATGTCATCTCCATGGACTTCTGTAGGGTCTTTGACGTGGTCTCCCCCTCTGCATTCGGGAGAGAGGTGGATTTCATGGATGGACTGTCCAGTGAACGAGGAATTAATGGAATCACAGAATGGTTGGGTTGGAAGGGACTTGAAAGAACACATAGAATCATGGAATGGGTTGGGTTGGAAGGGATCTCAAGGCTCCCCCCAGTGCCACCCCCTACCCTGGGCAGGGACACCTCCCACCAGCCCAGGTTGCTCCAAGCCCCCTCCAACCTGGCCTTGAACCCCTCCAGGGATGGGAAATTGTTGGATGGTCACATCCAGAGAGTAGTTGTCAACGGCTCAACGTCCAGATGGAGATTGATGACAAGTGGTGTCCCTCAGGGACACCTGCACTGCTCAGTGTCATCATCAATGACACAGACAGTGGGATTAAGGGCACCCTCAGCACGTCTGCAGGTGATACTAAGCTGAGTAGTGTGGGTGACACGCCTGAGGGACGGGATGCCATCCAGAGGGACTTGGACAGGGTGGAGAAGTGGGTCTATGTGAACCTCATGAGGTTCAACAAGGCCAAGTGTGAGGTTAGAGCAACCCCTGGTCCCAGCACAGATGGGGGATGTCCCATCTCACAGGTGGAGGGATGGAGAGCAGCCCTGAGCAGAAGGACTTGGGGGTGTTGATGTTTGAGAAGCTCAACATGAGCTGGTGATATGCACTTGTAGCCCAAAAAGCCCCCCACACCCTGGGCTGCATCCCCAGAAGGGTGAGGGGGGGATTCTGCCCCTCTGCTCCGCTCTGGGGAGACCGCCCCACACCATACTGCCTCCAGCTCTGGGGCCACCAACATCAGAAGGACATGGAGCTGTTGGAGCGGGGCCAGAGGAGGCCCCAGAGATGCTGGGAGGGCTGGAGCCCCTCTGCTGGGAGGGGGGGCTGAGAGAGTTGGGGGGGTTCAGCCTGGAGAAGAGAAGGCTCTGGGGAGACCTTGGAGCCCCTTCCAGTCCCTCAAGGGGC